AATACCAAGATAAGTGAATTTGTTTTCCACAATCCTAAAAGGGAAGTTGGAGTAGTCCGATGCCGACGTCCCCTCACTGACAAGAAAAAGTTCAGATTTATTTAAATTTAATTTGTATCCCGAGAACTGGCTAAAATCATTCAGTAAAGACAACATGGCGGGTAGGGAGGTATCTGGACGTGAAATAAAACTCAACAGGTCGTCTGTGTATAGGGCCACCTTATGTTCCACTCCATTCCTCCATATGCCAGAGATATTCTCGCATTTGCGGATTGCTATCGCCAAAGGTTCTATGGCCAGGTCAAATAGTAGGGGGCTTAAAGGACACCCTTGTCGGGTTCCCCGATGAAGGCTAAAGGGTTGTGACAGCTGAGAGTTGGTAAGGACCGAAGCAGTGGGGCTTGAGTATAATAATTTGATCCAGGTGGTAAAATTTGGACTGAAGCCAAATTTTTTTAAAGTCACAAATAAATATGCCCACTCTATCCGGTCAAACGCTTTCTCAGTGTCTAGAGAAAGGACACATTCAGGAGCCACACCGGAGGGGAGATACAAAATATCAAATAGCCGATGTATGTTGAAATAGGAGTATCAATTTTTGACAAAGGCCGTTTGGTCTTCAGATATGACGGACGGTAAGATGTTCTCCAATCTTTGGGCCAGAACTTTAGCCAAAATTTTAACATCAACATTTAATAGAGAGATTGGCCTATATGAAGAACACTCCATCGGATCCTTGTCTTTTTTTGCAATAAGGGTGATACATGCTTCATAAAATGATGTCGGAAGCTTGCCCTGCTTGAATGAGTCAGACAGCACTGTGCTTAGCTGCGGCGAGAGTAATGAGGAAAATGCCTTAAAAAATTCCACGGGAAATCCGTTGGGCCCTGGGGATTTTCCTGACTGCAGCGAGGAAATAGCAGTATCTATCTCCTCTTTTGTTATGGGTTCATCTAATCTCATTTTACTGTCGGGGGAGAGCGTGGGAATATTTAGTCGGTTCAAAAAATTATCCATTAATATAGTATTATTCGAGAATTCAGAGGTGTAGAGTTGAGAATAGTACTTCCTGAATGTGTCATTAATCTTTGCATGATCTGAAGTAACATTACCATCCTCCATTTTAATATTCGTAATATGCCCCTTTGCTTTAAGTCCTCTCAGCTGGATAGCTAATAATTTCCCCGATTTTTCACCATGGATATAGAACAAACTCTTACTTCTCGAGAGTTGGCATTCAATGGGATGAGTTGAGGCCAAATCAAATTTGGTTTGAAGCTCCACTCGAGTTTTATATAAGTCAGGGTTTTTAACTTGAGCATATTGTTTGTCTATTTCCTTAATTTGATTGGCCAATTCTAATCTTTCTCGGTGGGCCTTTTTTTTCATATTTACAGTGTAGGAAATAATTTGCCCCCTAAGGTACGCCTTAAGAGCATCCCAAACTACTAGACAAGGTGTATCTGGGGAGATATTCGTCTGAAAGAAAAAGGATATATGTTCTTCCATAAATTTCACAAAATCATTGTCTGACAGGAGAGTTGAATTAATGCGGCAGTGTTTTTTTATTTAAGGAAGGTCTGATGATCATGATCTGATATCACTATGCCCTGATAAGCACATGAACGCGCCAATGGTATCAGTTCATTGTCAATGAGAACTTAGTCAATCCTAGTGAAGGTATGGTGGGCGTGCGAGAAAAAGGAGTACTCTCTCTTATTTGGATGGAGGAAATGCCACACATCAGAGACACCAAAATTAGATAGAAAGAACTGAATGAGTGAGGCAGACCTACTAACTGAGTCTGGATTGGGAGAGGAACGGTCCAGTATGGGATCTAACCAGCAGTTAAAATCGCCCCCAAGTATAAGCGAGTATGAGCTCAGATCCGGGAGAGAAGAAAAAAAGCGTTCAAAAAAGCCCACATTGTCTACATTTGGAGCATAAACGTTGGCAAGCACCATCATTGTATTGTATAACTTCCCTGACACAATGATAAAACGGCCGTTAGTATCTGATATAACATTGTGATGCACAAAAGGGATGTTTTGGTCAACAAGGATTGAAACCCCCCTGGCTTTTGCTTGGAATGAGGAATGGAAGTGCTGCCCCGCCCACTGCGACATCAGGTGAGCACTATCGGAACCACAAATGTGTGTCTCTTGCAAAAAAACAAATGCTGCCTTAAATTGTTTTATATGTGAAAATACCCTCCTCCTCTTAACAGGGTGATTTAAGCCCTTGACATTCCAGCTAACAAAGTTTAATGATCTATCCACTGTCTTCAATTAAAGGTGCAGGATGATAAATACAAATGGTGTCAAAACTCCAGGAACGTAAAGGACATGATGAACCAAAAATGAGCTGTGCGTGGCTCGTGCAGGCTAATAAGCCAGTACTGGCAACAGAAAAGTCACCCTTTACCCACCCACCCCACAACAAGACAGCTGCCAAAGAACATAGCATCAAGCTCTTCAAAACCCCCATTATTAATCCTCCAAAAAAAATCTTCCTGTCACTTGAACCCAATGTCTTCCACTCCTTATTTTAGTGTTAAAATGCACTCAACACTCCTGGGTCCACATTTGAACGATTCTAGAAATACAAACGGAGAAAAAACATTCCTCTTAAAATCTCTTATGTACTGTTAGCACTGTAAAGTCATATAATAAAATAAAAATGAGATATGTTGCTTCAAAGATAGGCATAAACTCTGGCGGGTCTTCCTCACACCCGAATGTAGCAGTTCACGGAGTTAAAGGCTGGGGGACATACTTACATATACCTGCAGCCAGAGTTAGTGTGATACTAATGATTCAGTAAGCTGCCCCATAGCAACTGTAGTCTGGTCGCTGAGATCGTATACGGCAGCGGCCAGAGTAAAGGATAGCATGTTAGCGGTTGTAAACCGCCAGGCACAATCATCAAGCAGTCATTTACAGTGATGGAGGTGGAGGAGGAAGGCCATCGATGTATCTCCGCGCCTCATCGGTCGAACGTAGCCACTTCTTATCTCCGTCGGGAAGTGTGATGCGGAGCCGTGTGGGATATAGGAGAGAGGGTCTGAGCCCTCGGTTGTAGAGATCCTCCATAACTTCCCTGTACTCGGCTCGCTGGCTCAAAACCTCGGGGCTGTAGTCTTCAACAACTCGGATTTGCTGGCCGCGGTAGTCCAGCCTCCCTCTGCGGCGGGCCTCACGGATCAGGAGATCCTTCACCTGGTAGCGGTGCAGACAGAGGATGACGGGACGCAGTCGCTGTCCGGGGGGCGGCTTTGCTGTTAGTGAGCAATGGGCTCTATCGATCTCGGGCAGAGATGGAAGCGTCTCTTTTCCAAAAACCTCGCACAGCAGATCGGAGAAAAAAGCTGTAGGTCGCCCACCTTCAATAGACTCCGCCAAGCCCAGGATGCGAATGTTTTGTCTTCTGCTGCGGCCCTCTAAGTCGACGACTTTAGCCTTTAGCTTGGCGTTGCTTTTCTGCAGGCTGGAGCAGACGTTTTCTAGCTCACTGACACGCTGGCTCAGGTCCTCCGAGGCGAGCTCGAGAGACGAAAGGCGCTGGCCATGTTTGTCAACTGTGGAGCGGACCTGGTCGAATTTGTTTTCCAGCTGGTTGAAGGAAGTTTTAAAGTCAGCAGCTAGCGCCTGTCTGTGCTGGTCAAGTAGCTCAGAGATAGCCTCCATGGTTAAGCTAGCGGGTTGGTCGTCTTTTTTCCCTGACTTGCCGCGATGTGAAGTCATTTTGAAGCAAACATAGGTTAAAGAAAAGGAAATTGTTCAATATAAATTACCCAGTTTGCAAAATAAAGGAGTGAATGAGTGAGAAAAAAGCAAAGTAGGCAGGAGCTCTTGCGCGTCGCGTCTACTCCATGCGGCAGCCGACCGGAAGTCCCCTGATACACTATTTTTTCACATTGTGTGAAATGTGAATAAACATTTATAGTCAAAATTAATAATTAAATGACATCATGGTGGGCATTGTACATCTAGTAAGAAAAAAGAATATNGTGGAGCGGACCTGGTCGAATTTGTTTTCCAGCTGGTTGAAGGAAGTTTTAAAGTCAGCAGCTAGCGCCTGTCTGTGCTGGTCAAGTAGCTCAGAGATAGCCTCCATGGTTAAGCTAGCGGGTTGGTCGTCTTTTTTCCCTGACTTGCCGCGATGTGAAGTCATTTTGAAGCAAACATAGGTTAAAGAAAAGGAAATTGTTCAATATAAATTACCCAGTTTGCAAAATAAAGGAGTGAATGAGTGAGAAAAAAGCAAAGTAGGCAGGAGCTCTTGCGCGTCGCGTCTACTCCATGCGGCAGCCGACCGGAAGTCCCCTGATACACTATTTTTTCACATTGTGTGAAATGTGAATAAACATTTATAGTCAAAATTAATAATTAAATGACATCATGGTGGGCATTGTACATCTAGTAAGAAAAAAGAATATTTATTACATGGGGAAAGTTTAGTTTAAATGTGTTGTAGAACTATTACTGTTACTTTATCTACATAAGATCAAATATTTTGGTATGAACAACTGCATTTTTTATTTAACCAAGTATCCTGTATCATAACTACATGTCTGACAATTGTAACAAACCAAACCGCATGAAAATCGGTTGAGAATTCAGCGAGTAATGATGATTTTAATCATAAATAATCTCCTGCCTCAATAGACATTTGATTTCTTTCATCAATTTGAAATAAAATTGTCATCCTTGCTGTGTTTATGTCATTACAGCTGAGATGGAAGGTCCTCTGCTGGCGCTGTGCTGCCGCAGCTTCATCGGGTGCCGGGAATGCATTGCAGTCCTGCTGTCCCGGAGTGCAAGTTGCCCAAAGTGCAGGACACCTATTAGTCAGGACAGGACTGTTGCTGTGGCTGGCCTGTCAGAGGCTATAGGGACAGTGAGAGGCCTTGAGCTGTGATAGATTGTTTTTCCTTTAGTTGTTCATATGTTGTTACCATTACTATGGTAGTCATTAAAACTACAATTGCAAATGTTGCATTACAAATGCACAAACATGTTAAATTAGAAATGTTGCATTACAAATGCACAAACATGTTAAATTAGAAATGTTGCATTACAAATGCACAATGTTTTTATTGTGCATGTGAATTTGTGCAGGGCTTTTGTGAATTTTTCTGGATTAAACATGGTGTTATGAAACCCAGAACCTGACTGATCTGTTTATTAACTAAAATGTATTGACAATTTTAAATGACTATTTAGCGTGAAACTTGCTGTGAGTCCTAACCCCACTGACCTGCACTTAGACACTCAGCTGGTTGCATCTCTGCAGTGACATGGGAACAGGGTGACACTGGACAGGCTGTGTAACCGACTTATTGTTCAAATTCAAATTTCTTAGCATCTTATCACTTATTGTTATATATTTAAAATACTATAGATCTTACTTCTGGCAACTTGCATTGAATTGTATTTATACACGTCATACAAGGAATTCTTAAACAGGCCAACAACCTAACTATGACTGTACTGAAAATTAAAGCCCTAGCCTTGTTTTGTGTGCTGTGTTCAGAAGACTCCCCTCAAAATGAAACATTAGAATGTAAATTGATGACATTCAGTTCCTTAGAGGACAGTTTCAAAATGCCTTAATATGTGACTGAATCAATTCAGTAAAAATGTCAAATTCCAATAAAATATTCACCCATTATTCATAACAATCTACACATCCTACAACACACTATTTCTTTAAGTTAGTGGGTATTTGATAACTCCCTCCACTTATTTAAGACATTTTGCTTTTAACTATGGCAAGAGAGGGTACAATACACCAGTAAAATTAACTTTATTTCATGAATTGCTGCATTTTTAACTGACATAATTAGACCATGTTGTGTACACCATCACTGATGAATACAAACAACAAATACAATACCACAGTGATTTATAATGACTTCATTTTCTGGGACCAGTATGAGCTACTGTACATGTTTCATGTGGGCACTGTACAAAGATTAACCATCTCTTCTAATCATCCAGTAAATTAAAAGACAGTTCTTAAATACAAAACTGAATCAATGTACTCTTACTTAATGTGTATTTAATACACTCAGAACTCAAAGTGCCTTGGATTTCTTACTTCTTGTTTACAATTGTTTGTACTGATATCACATATCTTGTCATGCTTTGATAAGACATCTGGCATTAAGCTGTGTGGTGCCTCTTTGGATCTCTGCATCCTTTCTTACAGAAGAATTAAGCAAGGCTGTGTTCTAAACTCATTTATTATAATTTTTTCAATATCTGTAAAGACCCAGCACCATGTGTGTCTTAGTCCTTTCCTTTGCACTGAAAAGCTAGCTGTGTTTCACTGTGAAAGCCACTCTTAGTAGGTACAGTTTGGGACTCAGAAAGCAGACATGTTGAAACTCCTTCACTCCTTCTGAGGTGAGCGACACTCCATCCACATCTGCCTCTCCTAGTGTCTCACAAGCTCTCTACTCTGGTCCTCTGGAAACTCTGTAATAAAAGAAAATGTTTTGTTAGGTTTAAAACAGATGTTTTACATAAAGACTGCATAAAGAAAATATATGACCGAGGTTCATCTTTCCTCTTTACTTTGATGGTGTTTACTGTACATCC